GTGAAGCAGGAAGGGGGCTGCCTGAGATGAATCTTACCAGATAGTTAATATTTTCAGTGTTATGGGCCATCCAGTCTCTGCTACAATGACTCGGCTCTGCTCTGAATGAGCATGGCTGTGTTCTAATAAAACTTTATTTACCAAAAAAAAAAAAAAAGGGCAGTGGGCTGGATTTGACCCATGGGCCCTACGTTGCAGACCCCAGCTCTTAACTGTTAACTAGCACTATCTCTACCTCACTTATGGTTCCTCAGATCCACCTCAGTTCCCACGACATGCCATTCAAATGGCAACTATCATTGTATCGGACTGAGAATTTCCAACACATCTGCTCTTCATGGTACTTTTTTGAAGAATATTTTATCACTATGTCCGTTTTGGAGAAGAGCAAAATGAGGCTTCAGAGATAGGCTGAGGCTTCAGAGCCTCTCTATTCAGAGATAGAAATGAGGCTTCTCTCACTTGCCCAGAGTCTCATGTTACAAAGTTCTTTGGCACGTTTTAAACTTGAAATCTAACTCAATAAACACCAACTTCCCCGTGCTGCCCTTCCATCCTCATATTGATGTTTTCTCTTTTCCTTCTAAATTGTCTCCCTCCCCCAATATTCTATGCCTGGCTTTCTTGTTGGGGAATCAAAAGGAAGGCACCCTGATCTCTCCTTCTGGACCTTCTAGAATCTTCTCTCTGACCTTCTAGAATCTTCTCTCTGACCTTCTAGAATCTTCTTGATGAAAAATGTTCTTTTATGATGCCTGGTCTCTAGAGGCTGTGGGGATGGACACAACCTAAGTTTGAGTATGGAGACTGCTTAATGATTGTCGTTCTTGAGAATGAAGCAGGAACTGTCAAATGCAGGATCTATACACCAAAGGGCCTAAGGAACATGAGCCTCAACATCAATGACTAACATTTATTGAGAGCTTATTCCATGCTAGGTGCTGTGTTAAGTATTTTTTATATATTATCATATTCTCAGAACCACACTTGGTTCTCATTATCCCTATTCTACAGATGAAGAAACAGAAGCACAGAAAGCCCAACAACAAAGGATTGATTGTACTGGTGATTTTTTTTTTTTTTTTTTTTTAAGATTTTATTTATTTATTTGACAGAGAGAGACAGCGAGAGAGGGAACACAAGCAGGGGGAGTGGGAGAGGGAGAAGCAGGCTCCTGGCTGAGCAGGGAGCCCGATGCGGGACTCGATCCCAGGACCCTGGGATCATGACCTGAGCCGAAGGCAGACACTTAACCGACTGAGCCACCCAGGCGCCCTGTACTGGTGATCTTTTTAAGGAGAGCTTAGATGTTCACGCACAGGGAAGAGTGCCAGTGCTAGGCAAGAACGTAGAACTTTCCAGCCAAAGTAAACTCTTCCTTCCCCCTGCCTTGTTGGAGGCCCGTGGATCTAGAAGTAGAGAAAAAGGAAGAAGATCTCCCCAGGGGAGAAAGTGGCTGTCAGAACCCTCCCAAACCCGGGCTCTCCAGTTTTCCCACTGCTTAGCTCCGGTGACTGCATAAACCCTTCGCCTTCCCAATAGGGTAACTACAGTGTGGTATGAGACATTATCTCACTACCCTGCCACAGTGTTTTCCACTGTGATTGTGTAAGTAATCATATTACTTCACCCTCAAAAATTCTTTGTGAGAAATGGTCAGTAAGTCTTCTCACCAAGGGCTAGAGAAACATCAGTGGGGTAGAACTCAGGGGAAGGGGGACACTGAATGACAACTCAGCTTGGTCCGGGGAGCAAATGTCCCATAGACTCAGCAGTCCTCTTGCTCAGCGCTCAGATCCCGCTGCTGGAATGAAACCCTGGTTGGTCTTTGCCAAAGGTCTCTACAGCTCTTGGGTGCCAAAGCAAGCTTCACATCTGTGAACAGTTGTGTTGTTTTTATTTTTTAAGATAGTATTTATTTATTTGAGAGAGAGAGCGAGAGAGCGTGAGAGGGGGGAGAGGGAGAGGGAGGAGCAGGCTCCCCACTGAACAGGGAGCCCAACGCGGGGCTCGAGCCCAGGACCCTGCGATCGTGACCTGAGCCGAAGGGCCGAAGGCAGATGCTTAACCCACTGAGCCGCCCAGGCGCCCCACAGTTGTGTTTTCTCACGTAAATTATAGCGATATTCTTTGTGTTTCTATCAGAATGTGAAAAAGACCGACTGGTTCCAGGAATGGCCAGATTCCTATGAGAAGCACATCTACAGCTCAGAGGACAGGAATGCGCAGCGACACCTGAGCAGCTGGGCCATGCGCAACACCAACAACCACAACTCACGCATCCTCAAGAAGTCCTGTCTGGGCGTGGTGGTGTGCGGCCGAGACTGCTCCGCCGAGGAGGGGCGGAAGATCTACCTGCGACCTGCCATCTGTGACAAAGCCCGGCAGAAGCAGCAGAGTGAGTAGGGTCAGGCTCCTCACCCCCCAGTATCTGCCCTGTGGTTCCTCCGTGCCCAGGGTACCCGCCAACAAAGCTGCTCCCTTGGGTTAAGGCACCTGACTCAAGGCCTCTGTTCAAACGCAGATGCGTCACTTAGGGGACTCACATTAGGTCCTCAGTGCACCCACATAAAGTCTAGGAGAACGTTGGTTTTTTTGGGGTTTTTTTAAAGATTTTATTTATTTATTTGACAGAGAGCATAAGTAGGCAGAGCCACGGGCAGAGGGAGAGGGAGAAGCAGGCTCTCCGCCGAGCGGGGAGGCTCGATCCCAGGACCCTGAGATCATGACCTGAGCCGAAGGCAGACACTTAACCGACTGAGCCACCCAGGTGCCCCTAGGAGAACGTTGTTGATCACACTTGCCACTTGACATCTTGGGGAACGCCCCCCCTCCCCCCAGGAGCTCAGTGAATGCTTTGGTCTGGAGTGGGAGCATTGGGACGAAGTTTGAGATTAGACTCCATTCCGTGCCATTTAGGTCCATACCATAATCATGTTCATTTTGTTTCTCTTTATCACGTTCATCACATTGTGAAACAGCTACATCCAGCATTCCCCATGCCTTGCTCACTTCAGACCTCAAGTTACTTCATGTTCTTTCCTTGTAAGCCGTCTTGAAAACTTGCTCTCAGGAGAGGCTCTGATCTCGGTCATTTACTACTTAATGAGAATTTAGGGGCTGTGTGCTTTCTCTCCTGTGACTTGGCTCCTTGACCCTTAATTCTAATTGTGAAGTGAAAGAATTCTGTCCTCTTCTCTACAAAGAATTTCAAGTCTCAGTAACTAATATGGAGGGAGGGATTTTCTGCTCAGGAGAGCTCTCCCTTGACCTGTGAAATCGCCCACTCTGTAGGAGACCACTTCATCTGCCCCTGTCACTCCTGTGTGAGACTGGTCTGGGACGCGTTGATGGCCAGGCCTCCTCGGGTCAAAGGCAATGCCCAGTGGAAGGGAGCCCGTAGCACTGTGCCCAGGTCCATTCTCTGCCATCCTGGAGTCAGGTGCAAACTGCCAGGACTCAGTTGGCATGGTCACCTGCCTGTGCTCTCTTACAGGGAAACGCTGTCCCAACTGTGACGGGCCTCTGAAGCTAATTCCTTGCCGAGGCCATGGGGGCTTCCCGGTCACCAACTTCTGGAGGCACGACGGACGCTTCATATTCTTCCAGGTTGGATTTGGTTAGAGTTCTGAGATGCCACTTCTCTTTAATTCAGGAAGTGTGTACAGAGCTCAGGGGGACGTTTCGTACAGGAGATGGGCAGGGGAACGTACCAACCCTGAGCCGTGCTCTGGGCAAGCAAATGTCTGCACCCGCGCCTCCACGGAGGCGCCAAGCACTGGAGCCCCAGGAGGGGACGGGCTCCCTGGGGGAGGCAGCTGTCAGGAATCTGATCACACTCAGGCTAGCGCAGTGCTGCGGCATGTGGTTGGCTTCGGCAGACCCGAGGCTGAATACCGGCTCTGACCTCTCCCCAGCTCTGTGAACCTCAGCACGTGACTGGACTCCCCTGAGCCCCAGTTTTACATGAGACGTGGATATGAAGAAGTACTTGAGGGGGCGGTGGTATAAACGGGATAAAGCGTGGCCTCTGATGGCAGACTGCCTGGGTCTGGATCAGTGGCGTGCTGGTCAACCAGCCCTCCAAAAAGAAAATGTCCCGATTGCTAGGGTGGGCCAGCATCTGTGATAACAACAGTTCCCGCCATGGCTCCTCTCCAGCTACCAGCCAGCTCCCAGAATTCCCAAATGTCCTAGAGTTGGCTCTCAGCTTGGCCAGCTAGCTCCAGCATCCTTTGAATCCTGGCTCCCCACTCACTCAAGGGGGGCAGGGGGAGGAGGTTGCCTGGCTGGTGGAGTCTCCCCATGCTTCGTTTTCCTACTCTGGAAGCTGGGGCAGTAATCAGGGTGGCATGACTGATGGCGTTACCGAAGAGTCCGTGAGATCACGTGTTCGTTGCAGCCTCCCCCACATACCGGAGGAAGCACCTCGTGTCACTTCTTAGGGTTGTGAGTGTGACTTCGCCGAGTGGGCGAGGGGCACCATGGACAAAGACAGGCAGGAAAGCACATGCCGGGCTGAAGAGGTTTATGCAGTCTCGTGCCAGTCATCAGTAGCAACACCCAGGGCAGGGCACAGGGTAAAACTTAGCACACTGTGAGGTACAATCTTGCTATTTATTTTACCTCCTTGTCTCCTGCAAGTCAAAGGGAGAGCACGATCATCCAAAACCAGAAACCAAACTGGAAGCCGAGGCAAGAAGAACGATGAAGAAAGTACACACGGCGTCTGCCTCTGTCCCCTTAAAGCTGAAGGAGAGCCCAGAGACAAAGGTAACCTGTCGTCCTGTGTGTTCAAAACATATGGCGACTCACCACCCCTGTGGTGGGGGCAGTAAACGTCCCTGGTCCCTTCCCCACCGACAAAGGAGGTCAAAATCATCCCATCCGGCTCGTCTACAAGGCAGCATCCCCCAGAGAAAATAAATGGAATCTGGCGTTTTCCTCTTAATTTCTACCATCTTTGTAGCATGCTCTCAGATGCTCTTAAACTCCATATAATTTTAGAAACATCTTCCCTACTACAATTACAAGGAGAGACTTGGATTAGTACTTAACCTCTATTTGGCACTTTATATTTTGGTTCAGAAATGAACCTAAAATGGTCTCCGCAGAATATTAGCCTTGTGTTTTAAAATGTTTTTTCCAAAATTTCCATTCTTCCCCTAAATAGATAAAGCACACTCTACCAAGATGAAATAACCAGGAAGTTTCTGAAAACATTGGACACCTGCGGTGTTGGGGGTTGGAGAGGCCAAACTGTGATGTGAAATTTATGGCTTTATGGGCATCAAACCATAGGTTTGTGGGTTTGTCTGCTTAATAGTGATGCTAATTCCTGTATTTTACTACTGCTCAGTGCTCCGCATTTCATGAGGACAGAGATGGAGCCAGTTCATCCCTAGAGGTTCTAAATGTGTCTTACGTAGGAAAAAAATGTCATTTGGGTCTGTTAATAGGGACATGTGAGCCCCTGAAACCAAATGGCTGGTTCCTCATCCCTTCTCACAGCCCTGGGACAAATTGAAGGGCATTTCCTCCCACTCACTCTACCTGGTCATAGTCTCTCTACCCCCACCCTCGTTACATAAACAAGCAGATCACTTAATTCTCAACCAGCTTCTTTCCCTGTGAATAACTGGAAAGTAATACGCTTCCTTTATTTATAGAAATAAATTTACTACTTCATATCCTAGAGGTCCTATTTATGATTCAACAAAATCCCCATGAGCTCGGAGAAAAACAACAACAACCCTAGTCTCTCAGACTGAAAACAATGCTAAAAAATAGAAAAGTCAAGAAAGAAAATGATGTGTGTGTGTTTGTGCATGCGTGTGTGTGTGTGTGTTTGTGCATGTGTGTGTGTGTGTGTGTGTATGAGAGACTGAGTGAGCGAGCAAGACAGAGATCCACTGAGAGTTATACTGAGTATAATAGAAATCTTTGAAGCTGTAGTTTGATTTTTCTTAAATAGTCTCTTACAAAGGCAGTTACCATATCAGATTTGTGTTTGAAGATGAAACATTTTAAACACACGCACTCTGCTCAGAGTCAAAGGAGTAAGAGTAACTCAGCTCTTACTGGTTAGTAGGCTTTACAGTGGAAATGGACGCAACCTTTTGATTCTTTCAGGCTTTAAGTGCTTGTGGTGAAACCGTGCTGTGCATTTGTGCTTCAAGTATGTAAGGAATGAGGAAAATCAGAGCGCTTATTTGTACAGAGTAACTCTGGGTGCCTGTGGTAGTTGTGTCAATTTGCTTAACTTATTAATGTGAGCTTTTCGCTTTCCTTTCTAGTCTCTTCCAGGTGAAACCCAAAGTTGGGGAAGTTTACCTTTAACTTGGTCTTTCCAGGAAGGCGTTCAATTGCCCGGTAGTTACAGTGGACGTTTAATAGCTAACACTCCCCAGCAGAAGTCACTGAATGATTGCTTATTCTTCTCCAAGAGCTATTGCTTGGGGGGAACCACTGATCTGGCAGACCCCACTTCCACCTTGGGCCCCACTAAGCTCTATGAGAAATGCAAACTGTCCAGTAGTTGGATCTATAATAGTGGGGACCTGCTTCATCCTGTTTCTGGAGTCTTCTCTGACTACGATGATCAGCAAACATGGAATAAAAACACTGCTTTGGGGAGACATTCTCTTAATGACAACTGTTGTCCCAGTTATCCTTTCCCTCTGACCAGCTGGCCTTACGACTTCTCCCCTTCCCAGAACTCTGCAGAACCCTTTCCCCAGCAGATTCCAGTGGAGCCACCTGCGGCCGAAAGTAGCTGTCGCCCCTTATGGCCAAACCCAGGGGGTGATCTTTATGAAGAGAAGATGCATGTGGATTTTAACAGCTGCTACCCTTCTACCACATGCCACTCACCTCAGGAAGACCCCTTTCTCCTTACCTACACCTCCCATCCCCACCATCAATACTCATTGGCAGGCAAGAGCCGCAAGTGGGATTTTGATGAAGAAATGAGGGGCGTGGGTTTGGATCACTACAACAATGAAATGCTTCTAAACCTCTGTCCTTTAAGATGATCCAAATCTAAAACCTTGTACACTATTAACAGAGATGGAATTTAGTGCAGACACTCTGGAAAATAGTATGGAGGTTCCTTAGAAAATTGGAACTGCAGCAGCTTTCACAATAGCCAAAGAATGGAAACTACCTAAGTGTCCATCAACAGAGGAATGGATAAAGAAAATATGGTGTGTGTGTGTGTATGTGTGTGTGTGTATATATATATGTATATACACACATATATATATATATATATATACACACACATAGACAATGGACTATCACTCAGCCTCACAAAGCGAGGATATCTTAACCTTTGCTACAACATGGATGCACCTTGAGGGCATTATACTAAGTGAAATAAGTCAGACAGAAAAAGACAAATACCATGTGATCTCACATGTGGAATCTAAAAAAACCCAAACTCATAGAAACAGATCAGATTGGGGTTGCCAGAGGTGGGAGGTGGGGAGGGGTGGGGGGGAATTTGGTGAAGGCAGTCAAAAGATACAAACTTCCAGTTTTAAGATAAATTAAGTTCTGGAGATGTAATGTACAACATGATGACTCTGGTTAACAATATTGTGTTATATATTTGAAAGTTGCTGAGAGAGTAGATCTTAAATGTTCTTATGACAAGGGAAAAAGTTTGTAACTATGTGAAACAATGGACATTAGCTTATTGTGGTAAAAATTTGGCAGTATATACATATATCGGGTCATTACGTTGTACATCTTAAACTTATACAATGTTATATGTTAATTATATCAATAAAACTGGAAGAAAAAAAAAGATGACCCAGATTTTTTACAACCATTCAAAAAAAAAAAAAACTGTCTTTAGGAAATGGCTGAAAGAATTTCTTTGGGAAAGAGTTTTCAAAACATAACCACGGGTAAATCAGAACCATGGCGACAAGCAAAAGGCAAGACTTCCTCACACAAGTAATTTGGGTCCTCCTCCATTCCAGTCCTCCCATCCCTAGTGAGGAATGGAAACTTGTCTGGTCTGTGGCAGGAAATGTCCTCTGCTTTTTCTCCCCCCACATTACTTGGGGCTCTCAGCGCCTCCACTGCAGTGTCTGTTACATTGTCCTTGAATCCTATCAAACAGCAGAGATGTGAAAAGCCCACCTACCTAGGATCTCACCTCTGCCTTCTGGGAAACTGAAGCTGAAGCAACAGGGATAACGGGTAAAAGAGCTTCAGAGGTGTAGAAAGATGAAGATTCTACCACTGAGGTATTTAATGCGTTGCCTAGTATTAAACCTGTGGGATTCGTTCGTGCACTATGTGTTTTCTGGTTGATTTCTAAGACTTGTCAAGACAAGGACTATGACCTGATTCCGTCTAAGACAAAGACCAAGACTAAATGGCTGCAGGAAGAAAAATCCCCATGGTGCCAAATGGCGTCCTGCTCTTCTTCCTTCTCACTCTTCCTTTTCCTCACTGCCTTCCCCTTCCACGAAGGCTTAGATTTTGTCCCATTTACCTTTGTTTTTATAGTGCCTAACTCAGTGCAAGTTCCTAATAGGTGCTTGAGAAAAATTAGCTCAGAAAAGTCCTTGTGTAATTAACGTGGCCGTAACTGGCCAGCCATATTTGAATGCCAGTTCTTTGCTAAAGTACTTGACAATAAAAGGTGAGCCTAGACATAAAATCTGGAAAGAACTGTGCAATAAACAAATTAATTTTCCAAAATTAATTATTTTCCTTTCTATTTGAAGGATAACAAATGCACATAATACAAAATTTGGTTCCCGGTCTCCTCAAGGCAATATTGACTCATTTCTTGTCTATTCTTCTAGAGGTAGAGGTATTCTGTGTGTGTGTGTGTGTGTGTGTGTAATCATACCAGATTCATTTATAGCATGACTTTTGTCATTTTAGGACACAATCTGGGCATCAGGTCCTTTTAAGCATATAGGATCTTATAAGCATATAGTTGCCTCATTTTTGTTTTACAGATTTTATTTATTCGAGAGAAAGAGCACAAGCGGGGGGGTGAGCAGAGGGAGAAGCAGAAGCAGACTTCCCGCTGAGTAGGGAGCCCAACGAAGGGCTCAATCCCAGGATCTGGAGATGGTGACTTGAGCCAAAGGCAGATGCTTAACCAACTGAGCCACCCAGGCACCCCTAGTTGCCTCATTTTTGATGGTACAGAATACATTCCATGACTGTATTATAATTAATTTAAATCGTCCCTATTGATAGACTTTTAGATTGGGTTGAATCTACTTAATTTTTTTTCTAAGTGCATAAAACTTAAATGTTCAGTTTGGCAGAGTTCTAAAGCAAAGGCTTATGCAAGCACCTTTCAGGCCAAGAAATAGAACTTCCTGGCAGTTCAGTAAATCAAGGTTCCCTGATAGGAGCCCCTAATCTCACCCACTCCTGATCTTAAACCCTTTCCTGCATTCGAAGGTAATTGACTGGCTTTTTATATTTTTACTACCTTTGCATGTACTACTAAGCAATAGTTTGGTTTTGCGTTTTGGGGGAAACTTAACAAATAGAATCATATAGGATACTGTAAAAAAGTATTAAAATAAAATTTACATACAGAAGAAGGCACAAATCGTAGTCTACAGCTCAATAAATTGTCACAAGCACACATCAATCTAGCCATCACCTAGCATCATATAGTCTGCTCAACACTGTGTCCATAAGAATCGATCAGATTGTTGTGTGTAGTTGTATTTTGTTATTTTCCCTGTTGCATTAAATTATTTTTTCAAGTTTATTTATTTAAGTAATCTCTACATCCAACGTGGGGCTCAAACTCACAACCCTGAGATCAAGAGCTGTATGCTCTACCAACTGAGCCAGCCACGTGCCCCTAAATTTTTTTCACCCAAAATGCCTTTTCCCATGCTCTAAAACAAGCGGTCTCTGTTGGCTAAAAATTTTGGCTCAAAATTCTGGAAAGTAGTGTGTCATGAAATTCAGCTCTACTGTGAGATTTCCAGGATTTTGCATCCCCTCATCTGCGTGGTCCTTGTGTCTATACAACCACTGATCCGAGAGTTTGAACTAAGTTTAAAGGTCACTTGTGCAAATATCTGAACAGACATGAATATCTCTTACTGTTTCCCAAATAAAAGTTTATCCAGCATGTTTTTATTGCTTTGCAGAGAAGAGAAATTCTTTTCTTCAGAGCATAATCACCAAATAAAAACTATACAGTAGACTTAAAATGCACGTTAATTTGAATATTGTGATTTTTTTCCTTGTTTTTCAAAGGGATAATTCTTATCATTCTTCCTGTTCCACCTCTGAGAGCAGGGATGGGGTAGATTAGTGTGTGTGTGTTCAACTTCTTTTTGAGATAAAATTGCCCTATAACATTGTATTAGCTTTAGCTATCCATCCAACATAATGATTTGATATTTGTGTATATTGTGAAATGATCACCGCAATAAGGTTAGTCAACACCCATCACTGCACATAATTACAAGCATTTTTTCTTGTGATGAGAAGGATTAAGATCTCTTCTCTCGGTACCTTGCAAATATATATGGTATTGTTTTGTCTTGTGTGCACGTTTAACTTTAGCTGAAACTGCCAAACTGGTTTTACAAAATGGCTATATTATTTTGGGTTTTTTGTTGTTGCTTTTTTAAAATTTTCTTTTTAGATTTTATTTATTTATTTGAGAGAAAGAGAGAGACCG